GACGGAGAAACTGGACGTGCTAACAGCTGCTCTCTCCCTCTCCCTCCTGGTCCGCCTGCAGAGGCAAACACGTCCCCTGCTTCTCCAGGCGGTGAGTCTGTGACCATGTATATCAATCTGTCTGTTTTGGGGTTCAGTGTTAGGAAACCCATTTGCCTGCAGATGATAAGTCACAGTCTCCCATGTAACCCTTACCAGTAACAAAGGTGCTATTCCGGCATTTCCCTATTTCTCAATGGGTACTGTGTTCAGACAGAGAAGAGGGGCCTGTGTCTTAGTCTGTTCGGGCTGCTATAATAGAATACCGTAGACTGAGTAGCTTAAACAACATTTATTTCTCACAGTTCTGGAGGCTAGAAGTCCAAGACCAAGGTGCTGGCAGACTCAGTGTCTCCTGAGAGCCCTCTTCCTGGCTTGCAGATGGCTGCCTTCTGTGGAGAGCGGGGACCCCATGGTGCCTTCTTCTTTTTATAAGGGCACTAATCCACTCATGAAGGCTCCACCCTCACGACCTCATCTCCTCCCAAAGGCCTCACCTCCCAATACCATCACACTGGGGGTTAGGCTTCAACACACGACCTTTAGGGGAACGCCAGCATTCAGTCCATAGCAGCTGGTGACAGGATGACCTCAAAGCCCAGGAGTCGACCAAGATGTCTCTGAGGAATCTGGGATGGTCTTCAGAACATCCTCATCTTTCTCTGAGTGAGTCACAATCCTCAAAAGACAGGTTAGAATCCTTGTTGTCACTAAGAAGTCTTCTTGGGAGTGCTTAGGAAGTTAAGGAAATTACAGTCCTTTTCCACATTCAATTCCCAGTCAAGACTCTGCTCAAATAACTTCAAGAAACCTCTCTTGACGTTTTAGCTAAATTGAACGTTTTCTCCTTTTGATTTCAATACAGCTGTTTGCTCAGGAGGCACATACCAACTTGGGCATGAATCATTGTGGAAATGACACCTCTCCCTTAAACAATGTGTATGTGTGTGGGGCAGTATGGGCTGGTGTGTGTGTGTGTGGTATGTGTTTATGTTATGTGTGTGTGTGGTATGATTTGCGTGTGTGTGTGGTGTGTATGTGTGTGTGGTCTGTGGGAGAGGTAGGATAGTATGTGTGTGATGTGTACATGTGTGTGTGGTATATGCTACAGAATGGGGTGTGTGTGTGTGTGTGTGTGTGTGTGTGTGTTGGTTCCTAAACTTTCTCAAATTAATGGATTCATTTGTCAGCAATCTCATTCCTATAAGCCAATAAAAAAGGTATATGAGTTATCCATGACTCTAAAACTCAGCAGCCTAAAACAATAAACACTTATTATCTTGATTTCTATGGATCAGGAATCCACGAGTGGCTTAGTGGCACAGGGTTTCTCATGAGGCTGTAGTCAAGATCTTGGCCAGATCTGCAATCATCTGAAGGCTTGACTGGGGTTGACAGATCCACCTTCAAGGTAGTTCACTTCCTGGTGCTGGTTGTTGGCAGAAGGCCTCAGTTCCTTCCATGTGGGCCTCTCAACAGGCTGTTTGAGCATCCTCACAACATGGCGGCTGGCTCCTAGAGTGAGCAATTCAGGAGGGAGCAAGAAGGAAGCCACAGTGCCTTTTAAGACCTATTCTTGAAAGTCATGCTCTGACACTTCTGCCACATTCTATTGCTTAGAAGCAAGTCACTAAGAATAGCTCACACTCACGGGGAGGGAAATCAGCCTCCACATCCTGAGAGGAGGGGCATTAAAGAATTTGTGAACATATTTTAAAACCACCCGAGGTAGCATGGTGCAGACAGAGAGAAGCAAAGGCAGAAGAATCTTAAAATTTACTGAATTTACTCTAGCAGGAATAAAATATATCAATATTTAAGCATTTAGGGCTTCCTTCTCTCTACTGTCTTCCCAGGAAAACTGATGTGGAGAAATGGGAAAGAGGGCCAAGCAGTAGTCAGAGAGGTGATGTAAGGGAGGTTTTATTGAATGAAGACTCGGGGCCGCTGCTGGATGTGAGGTGTTGGAGAGCAAGAGGCTTGGGAGAGACTGAGTTTAAGAAGCAGTGTGTGAACAGTTATAAGCAGACTTTCCTCTTCTTTCAGGACACAGGTAGAGATCGGAATTACTTGAATTGCTCTTTGGTTTTTGGGTTGTTTCCTTGAGTGCTACACTGTGGTGAGACTGGATCAGCTGGATCTTATTGTTTACTTAGGTTATGTTCATGTGCCCCGAGAATTCCCACCACAAATGTAAAATGGCAAGGAAGCACTATTTTTAAAGCTTCCTCAATGCTTTTCTTATGTTTCTGAAGACTTTTGTATCCTCAGTACCTAGCACAGTGCTGTTCACATAGTGGATACTCAACATTAGCTAAAAAGAATCAAGTGAAAAAGTTAATTTGGATTTTCCCAAGATTTATGAGCCAAGATGCCATAATCCAAAGAAACAAAGGAACTATGTAAACTTGAAATAAAAATATTTTGGAGCTGCGATGTGTCTGGAATTCTTAGATGGGGTAGAAGAAACACATGTAGGAGTTAGGAGTGAATCACACCACAGTTGAGCCCAGGGTCAGGACAAGTGTCAAGACCACTCTTTTCTCTTGAGGCCCCAAACCTACTTGCATGTGCTCTTCAGCCCATACAACACTTTAAAGCAAACAGGGAGACAACAGAACGGATTGGGCTGGTGACAGAATGGATTGGGCTGGCGACACAACCTGGAATCTGTCAGCCCTACCGTTGGAGAGGCTGATCAGGGCTCTGGGTCATTTCTGGCGAGGATGGACGGGGTGAGGTGGGGCATGGAAATCTGGGCAGGCTTCTCTCTGTCCTAACAATTGTTTCTTGTAAGACGAAGGAACCCAGCCACACTTTTTCTTTTGGTTTTTAGCAGATTTCCTAGACTAGACACCTGGAGGTGAATGCAGGAGAATGTTCTTCAGGGCTGACATACAGATTTCATAAAGTGCTGGGCACTTGGGGTAGCACTTTCGTTACTGTACGCCTCTTTTCCTGTATTGCCTTGTTTTGTTGTCTGGCTGAAGGCAGGAGAAGTTCAGGTTTAGCAAGAAGCTGCCTGGAACAGAGGCAAAGAGATAGGGTTCATCCTAGGCCTTCAGTCTTAGCTCTGCTACCAATTTGTTGGAAAAAGTCATATGTACCAATTAGGCCTTGGTTAGCAAAGGGTTGTCCTGTCTGAAGGGCAGGTATAGAAGCCAACTGCTGGAACAGGTGATCAATGAAAGTGACACATTACTTATGCCTCCAATTCTTCTTAGATAGTTAGCCCCCAATTAGCTCTCTGAGAAACAGAGAAAATAAGTGTACTTGCCTTGCTAATGGGCACATGATTTGGTCTGGGCAGTTTACACAGAGCATTTTAGTTCCAAGACAAAACGCACCGAGATATCAGGATTAATGAGCCTCTGACTTTCAGGTTTGGAAAAATACAGTTCTTTTCTGCAGTTCTCCACAAACACAAAACAATGACTTAATGGCAGAAAGCAACAATGAAAAGGAACCAGGCCCTTCTCCCTTCTATACTGGTCAAAAGGGTACTTGCCCTGGCCTGAAGTGACCTTTTCTCCTATGAATTTGTCATCTGTATTCACAGGTCGTGCTCCACTGGAATGTACTGGGCCCAGGTCAGTGGTTGTTTATGGTTAGTATCTATTCTGATCAGCTGGGCACCCATTCTGTTTGGTTGGTGCCTGTGGTGGACACACCCTAAGGTGACCCCCTCCCCCCATGAGTTGTGTTCTTTCTAATTGCCTCCCTATGAGTGAGGGCAGGACATGTGACCTGCTTCAAACTAACAGAATAGGGCAAAGGCCATGGGATGTCACACCTATGACTCCTGATGACCTTGAAGAAGCCAACAGTTATGTTGTGAGAGGACCGATGGAGAAGGCCCTGGCGTGGAGCTGTGGGCAGCCTCAAGGAGCTGAAAGAGGCTCCTTGACCAATAGCCAGCAAGAAAGCCGGGCCTCAGTCTTATAATCACAAGGACATGAATTCCACCAGCCACCTGAAGGAGCTGGACAGCAGATCTTTCCCCAGTCGAGCCTCCAGATAAGAAGGTAGTCTGGTTGATGCCTCGAGTGCAGCCTTGTGAGACCCTGGGCAGAGGACCCTGTTAAGCCACGCCAGGACTCCTGACCACGGGGACTGGGAGCCAACGAACGTGTTTTGTTTTAAGCCACAACATTTGTGGCCATTTGTTACACAGCAGTAGAAAACTAATTCAGTGCACCTGCCATACAAGTTGTTAAATATTTGGTTATCACCCCTACCTGTTTCATTCATTTCACAATTAGTGACACACTGCTTTGTGATGTAGAATGTTACCCAGACCTTGTGTCATAACTATAGCTTCATGCAATTATGACTTTTCCTCTTAAATACGGTGTAAGTCCCACAAGGCAAAAACTCCGTACCTGTACTTTTTGAAAAGCCCCACAGCATATCAAAGTATTTGACACACAGTAGGTACACAGTCATAAGTGAATTGAGTTGGTGACCCTTCATTGTCTAACAAAACCAAATGGATCTTAGAGCAAACCACAGAGACACATGGCAAACCTTTATTGCATGCCTACTGTGTACCAGGTTAGACCCCAGACGTGAGAGAACAAGTCAAAAGTCCTGCCCTCAAGCTGTTCATGGTTCAACCCAACCAATGAGATCCTGCCATCTCATCTCCTTCTTACCACGCAGAATCAGAAGATACCCAAAGATCCTCAGAGTTCTTTGTCAATCGGTCAAGATTATGATTCTGCAGTTCAGGGAGAGGAGTAACTATAAAGGTCTTCAGTGACTTTTTGTGACTTTTTAGTTTGCAAGTAGAAGAAGCAAAAGGCCTCTGTGGTGCCCATCTTCCATGTAAACAGGGAGAAAGCCACAAAGATAAATGGGCAGACTCCACCCTGTCTCCGTAGCCCATCAGGGATGTCCCTTCAACTCTATGAGTCAAGTGGCCATATCCATAGTCAAGCAGACCAGAGAGCAAAGCCATATTAGGCAGGAGCTACTTTTTATTCATAGGCTTACAGAATGTATTGAATTAAGAGGCAAGTCGTTTGTCAACTCTATTTACCAAAAAGAGTTAAATAGATATTCAGCCTAAAAATTCATCCATTGTAGCTTGCATACTGTGAAATTTGCTTTCACATACATATAAGCTATTCTTATTTTATCTAAGTTATGCATTTAAAACACATAAAAATGCTACCAAATGGCACGTGGGCCTATTTTATCACAATTTTATACATTCCTGATAGTCAAAGGGATTGATAGGGAATGCACAGTTTCCTACTAGAAGAAAGGTAGATTCTGATACAAGCCGTGGAATAATGTAAGGATAAGAGTGCCTTGGTTTAGATCTCAGTAGCTTTATAATATAATTCTTATTTTAATTAGCATTACAATTGGTTCTCTTCATTAATAATTGGGAGGCTGTTAATTTGCCTGGTCGTTCCACTCTCTACTTGCCTGGGTGAGGCAAAGGAAATCATTATTACCTTTTCTATCCTTCCAATTTATTTCTACTTTCCCAAAAGAGGTTCCTCCACAGCCATCTGCCCTGCTTCTCCGCCCATTCCCTTGTCCCCCCAAGACTGGACCACCCTACTCACTGCATCAACAACTAGATTATTGCATTCCACTCCAGGGCGCTGTCTAAAAGCATCTTTGGCCACTGCCTAATTAAAGAACTCGCTTCCAAAACTGCCAGGGAGGAGCTGCTACCGCTGCCGCCGAGGAATCAGGAAGCGGGCTAAAGGGATTTCCTTTAGGTGGCATGCAGATACACTCCCCTCCTGCAGGCCCTCATCTCTCTTTCATTACACCCCCAGTCGGAGAAATTTCCATCATGAGTGTTCCTAGCAGCCAAACCTCCAGCATCCCACGCTGATTTCTTTCCTAAAAATACACAGCCTCTCACTCCATGGGGAAGAAAAATGCAACACTGCCATTTTCAGCACGCTCCCCAAGGGCTGATTACGGCTGGGAGCAATTCATCATCGCTCGTGCATTCGAGTTCCTAGTTTTTCCTTCATAGAACTCTTCTTGTTTATCTTGTGGACCTTGTGACAAGAACCAGATGTGTCTCAACCTTAACATCCCTCCCACAGCTCTGTGGGGGGAGAAACAACCGCGCCAGCTAGAAACTCTCTTTAGACCAGAAAACGATCTGAAACTTCTGGAAGACTTTCAAGAGTGGGGCCTTGCACGGAATAGCTGTTCCCAGGATTTAATCGTTAAATGCACCAGCTGATTGAATGGTGTCTATTCAGCACTATTTTCCTTCTGGCTCTGCATATTTTGTTGCATTTTTTATTTTATCTCAAGGTGCTGCTATATTCAAAATCATGATAAAAAGTCTTTACTTGAGGGATGGCAGAGCGTCATGGAAAGAAAACACAAAGCCGGCTGTTCAGAGGGAAAGTTCTGGCTTTGCCACTCACTACTGGATAATCTTAAGCAGGCAACTGACTTGGATTTTCTATTTCTTTCTCTCTGAAATTAGAATACCTGTCCTCCAATAAACTGAAGAACTATTTAAGAACGAATGAGATGAACACAAATGTACGTCGAAGAGTAAAGCTTTGCCAAAATGCAAGGTGGTCTTATTATCTATTGCCCAAGAACACAGAGCCATTTGCACTGAAGGCTCGTTTTTAGAGTCTCCTTAAGAGATCTATTCCTGAGCTCATGGAGTTTGGGGACAAGTCCTTAGTTTAAGGCTGCGTGGCTTGGCCACATGGCTACATGGAGAGATGGAGTCTGGGAGCCTCGCCACAGAGATTATAAAGAAGAAACGAGCTGAGAAGATGATTAACTAATGGCTGATGGGAAGGAAGGAAGAAGCAAGAGCAGCCCCTCCTCAGGTCATCCTCACAGGGGATGGTCCCACATGTCTCTCTGCTTTGGGTTTTTGCTGTGGTTTGGTTTTTTTGTCGTACATTGTTACTGGAAAAAAACGTCTTGCAGAAATTGTTTAAAACTCGAGGATTCTTGGATGGAGCAGTAAGATTGACGAAGCAAAGCTTCCACCACCTCACGCCAAGAACATCCACGCTCCCTTAGTACATTGCTCTCCAGAGCAAATGTCTCCACCCTCACCTTGTGGACTCTAGATCGCAGACTCCCAACTGGTAAAAAATTTTAAAAAGAAAATCTGGCTGCAGCTGAGTGGACTACCCACCCTCTCACTCCCAAGGGCTTTAGATCTTTCTTTCACACTCCACTGTCTCATGTGGACTCAGCAAGTCCCCCATCCCCAGCCCAGCACCTGTGCTTCCTGGTTTTCCAGATTCTGGGCGATGGCCACCAGCGTAGTGAGCGCAAATGGCTGGCTCCCAACTTCACCCACAGAGGTGACGCTGGGGTGGGTGCGCTGCTCCGTAGAGGCAGCACCGTGAAAAGTTGCTCCAGTCCACCTTCTCTATAAGTGGCGGGAATGGGGAACATCACTTCCACCTGCACAAGTGCTGGGACTGTCTAAATGTCTCTGGCACTGTTTGCCACGTGCCTGTTTCTCCACCCAGGCTTCTCTGAGGGGCTCCACGCGCCAGAAAGAATAGTGTGCCCATCTCGACAGCCGGAGGGATAGCAGAGCTGTCCCACTTTCAGCCTCCGACGTGGGGATCTGGGCATTCGTAGTCAATTCAAATAAACCAGGAAGGCAAAAGAACGCAGAAGAAAGAGTGACTTGTGCTTAAAAAATGAAGACAAGCCCCTTTTCTTCTGTTTACTTAGTGCTTAGTAGGAAAATTTCAAGCAGTAATGCTACTTTGGGTGGGTGAGCTAGTTCATTAAAGTCCCTGGTGTCCCAGGCTGGAAGCCCTCAGCCTGCTGTCCCCAGAATGTGCCCAAGTGCTGTTGTGACATTGATGCATTGTTCTCTAAGTGCTATTTATTGCCTCGATCTGCATTGCTTAAAGTCTGGAAACAACAAACGCATTCATATTTGTGGCAAAACATCTACCTAGTCATGACTTGGCAAACAATCATTAAAAAATAACAATACAGTACAATGATTGTGCTATTTTCTTGGCTAGAAGAGAAGTTGTTGGGTTACGCCTTGAGAGCCACCCCTTAAAAGCATTCACTGAATATTCTCTGAAGAGAATCAGCTAATCAGCTAATCAGGCAGAACATCCACCTGGAACCTTCCACAAAACCAGACCCCACAAGCTTCCCAGGTGACCACACCAGAGAGGCCCATTTTGAAAGAGGCACCTGGTCCCGAGTGCAGACCCGGCCTGCGGGATTCAGCATGTCTGGCTCCAAAGCTGGTCCCAACTGATCAGCCTGAGACCCCCCCCCCACCACCCCAGGCTGGACAGGATGAGCAGCACGTGGCCCCATGTGAGTGTGGGGGCCCCGGGGGTGCCTTAGCTGAGTGGCGGGAGAGCGAGGAGCGTTGCTGTCAGGAGTATCCCAGGTCCTGCCATTGGGGGCTGCAGCACCATCGGATGGGCTGCGTGGCCAGCGGCAACATCAGCAAATCAACAAAGCAGGACTGTCACAGGAGAAGGGAGGTGGGCATTCAAGTATCTGAAATATTAAGTTGCCCAGAGGGCAAAGATATGCATCAATCAAGCAGCCATCCCAAGGTTTCAAAGTACACGGACTCTTGTGTAAAGTCCTCTTTGATGCCACAACATCCTACTTCAAAAATTCTACCAGATGCTCATCAGATGGAAATACCTGTTCTATTGCTTTAAAGGACAGAATAAAAAGCACCATTCAGTCTTTGGCCTATCTGCTGGTTACCCACAAACTCAAAGGATGGGTCAGAGAAGCAGCTGAGGCACGGAGAGCATCAAAGAACCGTTACTGCTCCGGGCACCACGGGGTCAGCTCTGAACCACAAGGAAGAGGGGAAAATCTCTTTGTGTCACTCCGGGGACTACAGGCCGTCATGGGCCTAGACATGTGTCAGCAGAATATTTTCTTTATAGCAAAGGGAGGGAGCAATGTCAAACATTATTTTGTTAACACACCCATGACGAGCATCCATATGAGCCAATGAAATAGCCAACATTCTGCTATTAAGGGGGATTCAGGAAACTGGGATGGCTCAAAATAGCATTGCTGAGTGTTATCAGATTTTTAAACTAATCATCAGCAAATCTTTTCAGCTGACTTTGGCTTTAAGCGTTCTTCCCAAAAGGATTGCTAAAATGGAATGAGCAGGGCCCATGGTTTGTTCGGTCTTTTTTTTTTTTTTATTTCATTATAAGAGCTGTCCCAGCTTATCCGATTTTCTCCTTCCTCATTAAAAACAAAAAAGCACATTACCTTCCTGGATGGCAAGAGTTGATGCTGTACTCTTTTCTCAGTAATTACAGGCTTTAAGATGTCTTTTTAAATGGGAGAATGGACGTGTCATGCAGTTAGCCAAGAAACGCAATCCCTGATTAAAATGTGAGTTCTAAAAGTTTGGAAACTTCTAACTATTTCTTCAGTGCATTTTTAATTTCAGAGCTCTGAACTTGGCTTAAAAAAATTTTTTTTTCTTGGTCCTCTCTTGCGAGAGCTAGTGCTACATGTCTTAAATTCACCAATCACACCTTCACAAACTTAAGTCGACAACTATATGTTCAAAAATCTTTGTTTTCCCTTTGAAACTGGACGCGAAAAAGAAATCTCTCCTGTCAGTGGAGACAGCTGTGAAGGAACGAGGCGCCTGCACGTAAATTTCCTTAAACTTTTTGAAGAGTTGCTTCTCTTTATCCCACTGGTATATCTGGGAGAATGTATAGTCGCTCCCGAGGGCCAGGTAGTGATTCTCTTTAAAAGAAAAGGGCTGCAGGGTCATGGCCCCTCGGGATGGGAGAGCCTGGACCTCCACAAACTGCTTACTATTCCACCTCATGACCCTGGAGTCCCCGATGAAGCGGGTGAGCGAGAGGTAGAGCGTGTTCTGCATTCTAAAGCTCTTCACGGCCAGCACGTCCTCCATGTTGGGGATGTCACTGTGGGGGACAAACTTCTTAGAGCTTTTATTCCACTGGAGGATGATGGGCACCTGGGAGCGGCTGGACAGGATCAGATGTGCTTTCCCGTCTATATCGACAAACTCTGCGTCCGTGTCCCTGAACCACTCGTGCAGAGACTGGTACGAGTAGAATCCTTTGCTGTTCCATTTATAGACAGTCGACAGACCAGCTTTAGAGCTGTCTGCGATGACAAAGAACATCTCGTCCTCGATCTGGAACAGCTCGATGTCGTTGGGCTTGGAAATGCGAGAGACTTCTATGTCTTGGAATTTGACAAACTTGGTCCAGCTCTCATCATATTTGTAAATGTGAGAGCCGCCAAAGAGCTGAGCCACCACCACAAAGACCTGGTCATCGATGAGGATGGCCTTACAGCCCACGATGGACTGGCCTGTGCTCCAAAAGAAAGGGAAGAGAGGATTAGGGCAGCCACAGCTAAAAATGCTCCTTCACAGTGAAATCGGGACCCTTGCGAACGAACTGCTAGTGAGAAATGTAAAATAGGGCAGCTGCTGTATAAAACAGTAGGGCAGTTCCTTGAAAAAGTAAACATAGAATTACGATATGGTCCAGCAACTTCACATATGCATCCTTACCCCAAAGAGTGGAAAGCAGGGTCTCGAACAGACATTTGCACACCCATGTTCATAGCAGCACTATTCACAACAGCCAAAAGGTGGAAGCAACGCAAGTGTCCATGGATGGATGAATGGATGAACAAACGTGGTATATGGTATATACATACAGCGGAATATGGCTTAGCCTTAAAAAAGAAGGAAATTCTGACACACGCCATGACATGGATGAACGTTGAGGACACAATGTTAAGTGAAATAAGCCAGTCATAAACAACCCAAATATATATGATTTCATTTATATGAGGTACCCAGAGGAGTCAGACTCATAGAGACAGAAGGTAGAGAGTGGCTGGGCCTCGGATGAGGGGAGAATGGTGAGTTGTTGTTTAACGGGTACAGAGTTTCAGTTTTCAAGATGAAAAAGTTCTGGAGTTTGGTTGCACAATAATGTGCATGTACTTATCACTCCTGAGCAGTACACTTAAAAATGGTTAAGATGGTAAATTTTGTTAGATATATTTTCCCACAATTAAAAATTAAAAAATAGATTTTTTAAAAAATGTGCCTCCATAGAGGTATGGTAAGTGCCTGTCACCCGGGCCCTGCTGTCTTTAGAGGCAGGCATATAACTCAGGAAATTCACTGACACGCCAAACTAATTGTCTTCATGTTACTCAAAAAAGTATCTCCTGACACCACAGGGCAGAATGAGGCAATGAAACAGGCTTCTTCTCTTGGGGGGTTAGTGAGGGTAAAACGGTCAGTTGGGTCTCAGAAGCAGGAGAAACAAATGAGGGCTTGTGAAGACATCTGACCTCTTCTGATTTCCAGAGCCAAAGGAAGGCAGGAGAGTGCTAAACCCTGTGACTCTAGACCTCGTGGCCCAGGTCCCAAATGCAACCCTGCACGTTATAAGCCTCCTGAGCCTGTGCCAGTTACCTCTCTGGGCTCAGGCCCCTCATCTACAAAATGGGACTGAGGATGCTACCAGAGCTGACCTTACAGGTCTAGTAAAGACTAAACGAGAAATTTCCTGGTCAGTGGTTTTAGTACAGAGCACCCCACACAGGGAGTGGTCAATACTTAGTAGCTATTGTTACTGGATACTTGAAGCAGTTGTCTTGACAATCAAAAGGCCTAGACACTTTAGCCATTGGCCATAGCAGGCAGTGTATAAACGTCTGTAGAAGGAGCAACGGTCTGAAGGATCCCGCTCAGGCAGCACAAAATCAGAACTTTGCAGGAACAGGGGAACATTTTCAGTGGTGTCTGGGCCACCTCCTCCCATTGTCTCCTACTCTACACCAAGACCCCCAGGCCTTCCCTAATGCCCCCATTCCAGCCAGCAAGCAGCAGGACCACCCATGTCTCAATGAGTATTGACCCTCCATCTAGGTCATTCGATTAAAAGCTATTTCTTTCCCCTGATTTTCTAGGCAATTGGGATCAAAGTGACTTTGGTCTGTAAATTACAAGGGTAATTACCCCATTTCTGACCTTAGTATTAACCTTGGGGGTGGGCGGGTTTTAGAGTGGTATTTACTTGTCTCTTTCACTGCTCCGGTCTTCTGGCAAGAACCTGGTCTCTTTCCTTTGTTTAAAACTAATTACTGTATTATATTGTTATTTTTTCTGAGTATAAAGGTTTTCAATGTTCACCAAAGAACATTTTGACAATAATAATAGTACCACACAGTGTGTGCCATGACCAGGCACTGTCCTAAGCACTTTACATATATTTATTCATTTAATCCTTACAATCTTATGAGGCCAGTACTATTAATATTATCATCATGATCCTCATTTTATAGAGTATAACTGAGGCACAGAGAAGTTAAGTAACTTATACAAGGCCACACAGCTAGTAGGTAGTGGAGCCTGGGATCCAAATCCAGGTAGTCTGGCTCCAGTCCACCCTCCAGCAATGCACCAAAAAGCACAAAGAAAAGAAGAAAATCAAAATCACCTATACTGCAAATGCTGAAGTAACACTTAATATCTTGATATGTTTCTTTAATTGTCAACCTAGGCACATACTCAAACGTGCTTTTTAATAAGCCCAAGTCTATTTACAGCACATACACGGGCTTTTGGTATGCATGGGTTTTTTATAGTCTCCTTTTTTCACTTGACCACTATGTTGTGAGCATTTTCCCTTGTTATTGCATTTTCTATAACTTGATTTTTTTAATGCTATGCAGTATTCCATTGCGTGGGTACACTATATTTTATTTAACTAATCCCATATTATTGGACATTGCAGCCATTTCTAGTTCTTCACTATTATAAGCAACATACTTCTTTGTAGAGAAATCTCTTTTGAAAACCATCTGGCAGTGTTCTTAAATGCAGGAATTGCTGAGGCAAACTTTCTGCACCTTTCAAGTTTTCTGGGTTTAAACGACTAGACTATTCTTTGAAAGCTGCACTGACTCCCACCTGCCAACACCAGGTGAGAGTGCCTGCTCCTCGTCCCCTTCCTGAGCCACCTGGCTAGGGGGTCCCTCCTGCCCAGGAGTGCTCTACGCTCTGCCAGTCTCAGCCAAGTGGCCGCGAGAGACAGAAAGAATGCCTTTTTTGGAGATGCTCCAAAGCACCTCTGTCCAGGTAGACACTTGTGGCCCAAAGAGCTGTCAGTAGCAGCAGAGATCATCGTGTGTGTGTGCGTGTGTGTGTATGTTAATGGGGGAAGAGAGATGAGAGGTTGGAACACCCTCAGCATGCAGAAATCAAAAGGCAAACAAACCAAAAGCAGGAGAGCTGAGATGAGAGAGAAAGGAGATGGGAGAGAATGCCCATGGGTTCCGTCGTCCCCTAAAGACGGATGGACAGCTGGAGCTGGCCCTTGTGCCTCATGCTCACCAGGACCACAAAGGAGGATGCAGGTGCCCCTCCCATTCCTTGGAGCCCCAGGCTTGCCGGGCCTGGATTGTGATGGGACAAGATGACAAATGAGGCAGGCACCGCCCCGTGAGGGGAGACCGGGTGCATGTTTTCCTTGGTCTCGTTCAAACCAAGCAGCCCGGGCTGCACCCTTGCTGACCCATTGGTCCTCTGCCCAGCACACGTGTGCTGCAGGGCTTCCCGCCACGCCGAACTCCAGCTCGTCACGCTCCTGCCTCTACCCAGCGGCCTACCTGCTTCTATGACCACCCTCTCCCCTGCCTCCCTCAGCCCGTGCTCTGCCGTCCTGCATTCCTGTGCTTATCAAAGTCCTGGAGAGGGTTTAATTGAAGGCAGAGAGCTAGGGTCTGAGGGGAAGGAGGACAGCTCCTACTTTTTTCCCTATAAAATGGAGACAATAAATATACATGCTATGAAGTTGTTTAATGATATGAGGTTTATGTGAGAAAAGGCTTATAAATCACTGAGTACATAAATGGTAGTTGCCCTCCTTTAAATGAAAACTTACGTGACAGTGCACACCATTTGTGTTTAAAGGGAATTCACATAAGGGACAGAGAAGACAGATACTTCACTCCAAACAGGTCATCAAGGAATGCTTCCTGTAGAAGGCTGCATTTGAGCCTGGAGACGCAGGTGAAGGGAGAAATATAAGAAAGTGAGGAGGTTGAACTGTAAGATGTGATCGGAAATCAGTCAGCGACAGGAAACGGGCAATATGTACTTGGCAGGGCATGTTGGGACCCTGATGTATGGATTGCATGTGTTTTCACGAATTAAGAGAAAAAGATCTGAAGCCAGTGGCTTTCCTAGTGGTGGTAGCAAGGAAGGGTGATCAAATATTTTTTTTTCTTTTTTTTTGAGGAAGATCAGTCCTGAGCTAACATCTGCTGCCAATCCTCCTCTTTTTGCTGAGGAAGACTGGCCCTGAGCTAATATCTGTGCCCATCTTCCTCTACTTTATATGTGGGACGCCTGCCACAGCATGGCTTGACAAGCGGTGCATAGGTTCGTACCTGGAATCCGACCCGGCAAACCTGAACCCCGGGCCGCCGAAGCAGAACGTGTGAACTTAACCGCTGTGCCGCCAGGCCAGCCCATCAAATATCTATTTTTATCCCCACTGATACCACAACGTTTGTGGAGGATTCACCATCTGCCGGGCACTGTGCTCAGGATTATGCGTATTACCCCCACGGGTCCAATACCGTGATGATCTCACCTTACAGGTAAAATGGAAATTCATGAAATTCCCATTTTACGGATGAAAGGGGCTCAAGGAAATTAAGTAGCTTGGCCAAGATCACCAGTTAGAAAGAGCTGGAGCCAGTTTTACCAAAAACCAGTCGAAGTTGGAGCTCACAAGCTTAACTACCCCACCAGGTAACTCATGTGTTGGGCTTGGCTGTGAAGAGGACCCAGGTGGGCTTCACGTCAGGGCTGCTCATCTCTCAAAAGATTCAGACTTCAAGACTGAGGGGCTGAGGAGCCCTGGAAACTAGCCAGGTCCACCTGGCTCTGGCGCGGGCCCACACACTTGGATCTCCCTGACCACTTCCTACCCAGCAGCTCTGGTCCAGGCCATCAGTACCTGCCTGGATTGTCCCAACAGCCTCTCAACTCATCACTCTGCTTCCACTTTTGTCCCCTCCACCCCCCACGAACTACTCTCAACCCAGCAGCTGGCCACCACCTGGCACTCCGTACCAGGTGCCTGTGTGTTCTGCTCAGCCCTGACCTCCGCGTGAAACCCTCCACGACTTTGCAGAGCTCTCGGACTAGAAGCCCAAGTCCTTCACAGGACCTGCAAGGCCCCAGGGTCAGCCCTTCTTTCCTCTCTGACTGTCTCCTGCACCTGCCCCTGATCATTTCGTTCAAGCCACACTGGCCACCTGGGTGCTCCTCCAACGCAAAAGACACCCTCCTGCCTCTGGACATTTGCACTTGCTGTTCCCTCTTTCTGGAATGCTCTTTGCTCTGCTCTCCATGTGGATCAACTCCTCACATCCCACAGGTCTTATTTAAATAATACCTTTATAATGAGGCCTTTACCGAACATTCTATCTAAAATTTCAATCCCCCCACGCCCAGCTTTTCAACTCTTCCTTCTCCACCTTCTTTTCCCTTTTTAGCATGCCTGCTATCTAACGTGTTCTATGTGTTACAGTTATTTGTCTTGTTTATTGTCTCTCTCTCATTATAATGTAAACTCCCTGAGGATGGAAGTCTTTATCTGCCTTGTTCACTGCTATGGCCCTAGCACCTAGACCGTGCCTGGCTCAGAGGAAAGTGCTCAGGAAATCTTTGTGATGAACCTGAGGAGGCCACCAGCTGCAGTATGTCAGAAGGGCAGGTCGGGGGCAGTGCTGTCCCTTCCTAGCAAGGTCAACCTGGAGGAGGGCAGGGGTGGGACACAACAGTGACAGACCCTGGGTCTGCCTCAGAAGTGACAGTGGAGTGATGGGACACGCCTGGGCCTCCATCGTTTCATTTGTAAAGGTGTAAGAAGGCAGCTGGCCTGAAGACCCGCTCGCTCTGTGCCTGGCACTTACTGGATCCTCTCAACATCTACGTGAGGAATACCTACTGCTCTTCTTACAGATGAGGAAACTGAGCCTCAGAGCCACAGCTACTTCCCACCCAGCACACGGCAGAGTCAGGATAATAATCCACATTTATCAGTTTTCAAAGCCCGAGTTCTTCATAGTCTATATGCCACCTTTCTCTTGAAGAGAGGGCCTTTGTCCTCTGCGGACCAGCAGGCAACTCACAATAATACCTTAATTGTGAGTTTCCAATGAGACAAACCAGCACATGGCATCTTCCAGGCCAGCAACCAGCGCTGGCAACAAGCACTGGTGTTGAAACCTCCCATATAAGAGCAAAGCTTCACTCTGCTCCCACCACCTCCTGTGGGGAGGGGACGGGGGAGGCCCAGGGGCCAGCTCATCATCCCTCACCTATCTTCCGAGTCAGGAAGAAGAGGGAAGCAAAAACCACGCGGGTAGCGAGTCCCCTCCCATCTCTCTTTTTCCTTTAACTGGGTTTAGGTTAACTTAACTTTAACTGGGACTGGGTTTAGGGTCCGAAGGCCTGGGCTTCCCTCTGTCGGTTCACCTGCAGGGCTCTGTGCTGAATCTGCGCTCTGAGCTCAGGAATGTGAGCTCAGCACTAGGAGGCCAGATGGCCCGACAGCAACGTGGCTCATCTGCAACGGCATCTTTGGAGCATCCGGATGTGCATCACACAGACCTCTCAGTGCTTGAGATGAGGCTCATTAGCAGCTCTGCTCCCTAGGGGGAAGCAATGCCCTCCCTACCTCCTCGCACCTGCTGCGAAGCCACTGTGTGCCTGAGAGAGTCCTCGGAGCCTCCCAGTCTGGAAATTCCACCTAGACGTGCTCCTGGCTGCAATAGCAAAGCTCTGCTCAACCCTGAATCAGGAACCGCTAAAGGAAATCCTCTCACGGGGTGACAATTAGGCTGTTGTGATGCTGTTTATAAAGTTAGTATTATTATCAGATTGCACTTTGATAAATGAGAAGTCTTGGAAAGATTATTTTGACTTTATTCACTTATTTAAAAAGCAAGTAGACAGCCCATTTTTGGTAGCGCTAAGACACTGGGATCCCCTGACGGCATTGAAAGAAGCATTAACTGTCTTATCCTAAAGTCCTGAATTTAGGGACCCATCTCGTCTTCTTTTGTATGTATTTATTAAAGAAAAGCAGGGATCGCCAGGACCTGGCAAGGGGGCAGTAGGAACAAGCCACAGAATGTGTGCACGTGTGTGTACACCTATGTGTGTGCATGTATGCATGTGTCTGTGCACGTGGGTGCGCATGGGTGTGTGTGCATTTGTGTCCATGCATATGCATGTGTGTGTGTGTGTACATGCACACGTGTGTTAGCATATTAGTTAATAATCAGCTTAACAAAAGTCGAAGGACTCATTTAGCTGCTAAAAAGCGGGTGCAGTCTCAGGCTGCTGTAACTGCTCAGGATCAAGGGGTTCCCCAAGTGACTTCTCACCACTATGGGAAAATGCCTCCCACCACATGCAACCCATCCCCCCTCTCTTTTCAAAAGGATCATCCACAATAAATGGAATCACCACCTGAGGTTTCTCACCAATAACTGACCATGTGGAGAAAAAAATTGGAGATGAAGGTGGGCTGGAATGTGTTCCCCGAACCCAGCCAACTCAGAGAGCCAAGCCTTCCCTCGGTAGGACAGAGAACGTTTCTTCTCTCACAGGCTTTAGGCCGTACTGAAATTAGGTCAATACATCCTATCAAAGCCACAACACACCTGTAATATTGTCATAGCTCCGGAAATTCATTTCGATGTGGTCCCACTCCAACACCATGCAGTTCTCCATGCTGGGCTGAGCGATGGCCACGAACACATCATTCTTGGAGTTGAACGTATCCACCGAAACCGACTGGTAGGGCAAAGTCTGATGGACAACAAAATCTGGGAATGGGTGTTTAAAAACAAAAGACTCCGTGAGATCTCTTACGGGAACTACCGACCCCCATTACCCTTCGTTCGTTCTATCATTTATTCCACAGAGGACCGGGGAAGAGGAAGGACAGTAGAAAAGCAACACAATCACAGTGTGCTTTACTCTGGAAGATTCTAGAAGGATTCTGGCTTGCACAGAACTTTCAGACTGAATGCACAGCTTCTAATAGAGGTTTTTTTTTTTTTTTTAAGATAAATAGCTCACAAGTTTGGCTAAAGGATCTCAAGTTTTTAAACAAATTTGGTAAGACCTGGCTTTCTAAAACACAAGACAGAAAAGATGCCACAGAGCAACATTCCTTGACACTATCATGAAAATCAGTCTGTGAGGAAAGGCTGCAGGAGTCCCAGCAGGTTGGGAAATCCTGGATTTTGTATTTCTAGCCCTCTCAGAACAGCGCCCAGAGTCACGAAACCTGTTCCATTCTGTTTGCTGTGGGGCTGCTCCAGGTTACCTGACAACGGGATCCTTTATCGCCTGTCATACCCCCCAGCTTGCATTATCCCGGTGGAGACACACTGCCACCGCAGGTTCAAAACTAAAAGTGAATTCCCCAAACAGCACACTGCACATTTGGAAACCAGACCAAACCCCGTGATATGGTGTCAGAGGTTTATAAAGCCACAGGGCGGGGAAGCTAACCTAAGTGCGTTTCCTGGTACTGGCCCCCGTGCAGCGGTCAGTGACAGCTGTGCCTGGGATCCGGACATGCTCTGCAGCTCCACAAGCCGTTACAGGAGATCGATTGGACTTTCAAGCAACACAGAACCCGTCCTATCTGAGCACGTGTTCTCCTCTTACATTTAGTGGAAAGTCAATACTCCTCGTCCATATCACTCCCCTGAGCTACTGCTGGCTCACTGCAATAAATCTTGGCAGGGAATGTATGGTTTTACCAAGGAAAGGTGAGCATGCCATCAGAAGCCAGGATCGTTGGTGTGTGGGGTAGCCAGAAAACCAATGAGGAAAGAATTTAAAAAATAAAACACTAGCAAAGTTGAAGGTAAGCTATTTCTTTGGCCAGAGGTGCTTCAACGTGCTCTGCTTCTCAGCAGGCTGCCTGCGCCCAGGGAAAATGATGGCAGACAGCTGGCTGAGGAAAGTCATTCTTATAAGAAAATTCTGGCTTTGCCCATCTCTTCCCCACGCGATCTTTATCCATGCCCCCTCAAGTCGCATCTCTACAAAGTCAGTCCAATCCGCAGGACTCTTCCTAACTCGCTGGACTCATAATTAGGCGCTCTTGTTTACATCTTATTATTCATAATGATTGAGTCTCCACCATGGCAACATCACAGATAGATCTGGAGAGATCTTAGAGGCTTGAGTTATTTTACAGAGCCAGAAACTGAAGCCCAGAGAGGGTGCACGCCTGGCTGTGGCCACACAGCCAGCACGGGGTGTCTCCTGAACCAACGGCCTCCTGAGGTTGGACCTGGGTCCTACACTCCTCCGAGTTTCCCATGGCACAAGCCCTTGGCAGCCACTCAAGAAATAACTCTGACTCGGAAGGCTCATAAAAGATGTCAAATGCGAAAGGCAATAAAGAGGGGGGCCACTTAGTAGTGAATGAAGAGGGACACCGCAAAAGGGACACAGGCAGGAAAGGTGGTGAGAGCAGCTGAGTGAGCGTTGAGATGGGAAGAGTGGAACAGTGATGGGAAGAGCAGGTGACGCTTAGCGGGCAGAAGGGGGGCGGGGCTAAGGGAGAGAGGGCAGTATGAGGCACAGGAAAGAGCACTGTGCCTGGAGTCAGATCACCTGAAACCACTGCCTGTCCTTGAGACCCTGGACTGCCCACTTCCCCTTATAAGGCCTCAGTTTACTGTTCCACAATATGGGGGCAGTGACACCTACCTCCCAAGCTTGACAGCAAGGACACACTGGTTGATGTTGGTGGAAAAGCTCATCTCGGGGCTCAGCATATATAAGTCCTTGATAAATACAGAATTGAGGTCCAAGAAAGGACAGTCCATCTCCTCTGTCCTAGCCACCACTGGGCCATCTCTTGGGGGAGTGTCCATTTTAATGGCATCTAAGATAAGATGCCAGAGCTGTGACTCCACCATCTTGCTGAGTGACCTTGGTGAAGGTACTTAACCTCTCTCTGCCTGAGTTTCCCCATCGTATACTATGACTCATACTCATTTAGAACGGTCTCTAGTGCCAAGTGAGTGCTCAATGCATGTCACCTTTTGGAGGTGTTCCTCTCCTCATTGAGTGTACAAGAGGTGCTTAATAAATGCTTGCTGGCTTGATGAGTGTGGAAGGCTGTCTCTGTCCCATGGCCCACTCTGAACACTGTGAGGCGAGAGGACAGGGGCTGAGTGAATGATGCACACAAGGTGCAGGGAGAAGAGCGAGAAGTGAAGAGGAGGCTGCCTTTGCACCCCGAGAGCAAGGGGAGGCTGGGGGAGGGGCGGCCACAGTGGACAAGGCAGCCCCCCAGCAGGGAGTGGAGCACTGGGAAGAGGTGGCACTTTAGGTAAGACCTAAAGACCACTGGGCATCAGGTTCCCGCCTGCATTTGCAGCTCCGTGACCTTGGCCTTGAGCCTCAGGCCCTTGTCAGTGGAATGAGGGTATCGTCTACTTCATAAGGTCATTGGAGAGACTAAACAAGACTAAACAGATAAGTGTTAGCACAGAGCCTCATCATGGGAACCCTCAGGATTTTTGTTTGGGTAGCTAGACAGTTATCTAGTTATAGTTACAATGATAGCATCAGTTTGCCTGCATGAAGACTTAGAGAAGAGTCACAATGGCTCCTAGCCCCAGCCCTCAACCAACCCCCCAAATACCAGCGTTGCTCCATCAGAGACCAAAACAGGAAAAACTCAACCTCGGTTCATTCCTGTTGGTACTGGCAGAACCAGCGTTCAAGCCAGAAAGTGGCTGCTGACCACCCAAGTCTTTGAGGTTTCTGTGCTCTCACGGAGATAAACGGAACAAGACGGAAATGGCAGCTGTCATCGTCTGCTTCCTGTTCTGGACACAGAAAAGGACTCAGAGAACACAGCTGTGTTCTTTTTATTACAAGCCAGACGGCTCTAAGCTCCTCCAACATCTCCAGTTGCATTCGTCTAAGATAAGTCTGCAGAAGGTTCCAGACATGCCTGCGATGCCTGTAACTCATCGGCTCCTTGTTCTCATCTGTCTCCTGACTGCGCTCTGAATTCTCAGAAACATGAGCATTTGCTTAAAAACGCAGGTCGTTCAAAGTGCAGCCCAAAAAGTTTCCGTTTTTTATTAAAGCATCCCGGGATGAAAAAGAGCTATCAGAATAGAGAGGATTTTCCAAATTCAGGCTTTACTGGTCCTATTATCATTTATTTTCCCAAAACATTGGTTTCATACTATTTTCTAAATACTGACCATCTGGCACAACGCAGACTGTTAAATCATTCAAATTATAAATCTAATTCTTAATAGGAAACCTCTTCTCCTCTCCTCAAAAAAAAAGAGGAGGAAGAGAAGAAAAAGGGGAAGAAAAGGGTGAAAGAATATGATTGCTGCGTTTGTGTGTACGGGGGGGGCGGACTCGAGGAATCCCAATACCTTCTCCCATCCCCATCTTCATTTATCATTCACAAACGGCAAAAGCACATTCGTTGTGGAAAGAGCTCAAAGAATACACATATTGATATGACATCAATTTACTAGTGTTTAAGTATTAATGGCATTCTCTGCAAAAAGCACTGCCACTTCCATTCACATTGGATTAAGTTCATGATGTCAGTGGGACTCTTACAATTAAGCCTTGCTCCCACCGGAATCAACAGATTTTTATATAGCTATTTATAGCACATGCAGAAAATAAATTATACATGATGCTGATCCTATTGGGAGAGCCACTGCACATTAATGCATTATTTCTCTTTGCATTTTCATCAGCCCTGAAATAGGGAAGCTAACAGGACAATTAGGATGCAAAATTCACTCCCTCTAAGGAATTTAGTGAATTATCCACCTAACATAGGGAATCATGAGTAGGTAAGAGGAATTTTTAGGTGGTTAAAAATAGATTTGAAGCGGAGGGTTATGGAAGGACTGTGATTAATCTAGAGAGCTGAAGCTGTCCAGTGGTGGCTTTGTGGTGTTAATTACACCCCTGTGCCAGGAACAGAAGGGTAACTTATCTTCCTCTCCCCCGGAAGAACAGTATCTTCCTCTCCTTCCTCGACCTGAAGAATTTACTCTTTTCCTGAAAATCTGAGCTAAGAGGAAAAGGATGCACTCAGAAAACACGCTTCTTCCCAATTCTCTAGTGAGGATGCGGTAACAGTACCATGACTGTTGGATTTGGCTTTCCATCTCCCATCCATCCTCATGTTTCCTCCCCAGCCTTTAACAGAGCACCAGAGGATGAGGCTTGATCTGAGCAGAAGATAGAAAGCCAAAAAACTCACAATTTATCGACCTAGTTCTTACAAGGCAGGGACATACGGGGACGGGTCACAACTTGGTTATGCCATTTTTTCATGATGGAACAAAGTGAGCAAGAGCTAATTTGCTCATGAATCTTAAATGAAACAACAGCAAAGACAGTCATCATCTCTCTGTACCAGGGAGGACTGCTGACTTTCTAAATTTTAGTAGGAAGCTTGTTAGCAAAGACAAATATATCTAAGACAGAGAATTCCCTACAATGTGTCAGCGGGCTCACGCCGCCACATGGATTCTGGGTTTAGAACAGATTTGGGGAACTGGCTACCTGGGTTCCAAGCCCTCTTCATTCCTATAACAATTCTCAGAACCTGGATCATTTTCATAACCATCCCCAGAGCTCTAAGGTCAGAAATCATGTTTTCTCATATAAATTATTCCCAGTTCCCCAAGCCTCTCTCTAGCCCATGTCATTCCTCTCAGACATTGGCCAAGTTTGCACACATCATGGCCAGGTGTGAACAGAACAGTGGAAAAGCTGGTAACTTCACCTAGGAGCTAGAGAATTCTCCAGAAAAACTGGAAAAGAGGCAGAGAGGAAACCCAGCAAGCGTTGGTTTAGCATTTAATATCAAATGGCCTTGAATGCCACCTTTTGGTGCAAATGCCACTGACTACGACCTCTGATTTACTGCAGTGTTCTACCATACAATAAATAAGCTCCTAGTGGCCTCGGCCAGCTGGAGGGCACCTGCCAATTACACAGCTGAACAAGCCTCTGTTCGATGATGAAAGACAAGGGCATTTCCCTAAGATTTCAGGTTTTCTATCAGAAAGGAACAGAACTCGTAAGGTCCCTTTATTTACAAAAATATCTAGAAGTAATTTTTACTCTGTGAGTTTTTGTTTGTTTATTTGTTTGGAGGGAGGCAGGAGGACTGGCCTAACTATGAAATTTTGTTCTTGGGGTTTTTTTTGTCTTTTGAGTTTCTGTAACTATTTTCTCAGTTCTCATTTCTGTGGCTCCTATTGACTTGCCTTGAGGCTTTGTAGATATCAACTCACAACTTAAATGTTTATATTTATAAGTCTGGTAAGCAGGCTGCATACTGCGGACTGATCTGCTCTCCTTTCAAATCTGCCTTTAGAAGCTGTAGCAATTCCGTCTAAGCCTTTCCCACGGAGACACTCCCCTGCCCTCCACAAGATGTGACAGTTGAGCTGTCAGTATTTTACTTTTATCTTATAACCTGAAAAATGTATAAACTGAAACCTTGAGGCAGGCCCTGGAAAACAAAATCAAACTTTCCTTACATTTTTTTCTTCAATGTGAGTTTTTCCTTTGATAACTAGTTGTTAAGTTATATTTCTACTTTGCCATTGGTTATAATTTACCGAGTTACCTCTTCTTACATGGAACTACAAAAGCAATTTATAGATTTTAAACTCTGGTATTTATTAGTTAAATTTTCAATAAACTTCATATTACTCAACCAAGAGAACAGTGACGATAGAATGCAAAGAGAACAGTAATTTAGGCCTCTTAGCACTGGCTTTCCGTGAAACCTGGACTGATTTGAAAATCTTTTTATGCTGAACTCACTGGTTTATACTTTGACCTTTAAAAAACATCTTTAGAGATTTTTGAATTTTGTAAAGAATCAAAAAGAATAAAAATAAAGCCAGTGCAGTTAACAAAAATCCTTCCAAACCGTTGAGATATTCTCTTTACCACGTCAATTCATTTCTTTTAGGATGCTTAAATTTTCTCAAAAATAATTTTGATAGAAAACTTTTACACCCACTTCTCCCCACTCCCTGTTGATGATCTAAAGGAAAAACAAAGGGATTAGTCTAAATATCAGGCTTCAATGATAGAGGTTCTGAATACCTGTAGTTGTGCATTCATAGTCAAAGCTGGTCACATCATTTAGCTTCTTTTCCTGATATTCTGGTGGACCAATACAGAGCACATCAGAAACGGTGGAATTTGTCATCTTCAACCACAGATACAACCACTTGGCTTTGCAGTCACATTCAAATTTATTGCCCCTTAAATCTCTAAAAAACAAAACAAAACACAAACACACACACAGAGAAATAGACATATCTGAAACGTTTGGGCAGGAACATGAAACTCCAGAATTATTAACATCCTGATATATTTAATCCCCCCCCAATGGAATTTTAAAAAATTTTTGTATTTAATGCATCCTATTTCTTGCACTTATCACTGACTTTATTTAAAGCTCCTCAGTGCCCATAATTTTAACCACACGGCCTACAGAAAGCTCTCAGAGCCAACATATCACATTTCCCCAAACCCTCTTGAAACTGTCACCATGCCATGCTGGAAACGGGCGAGGGATGACAGAAAAATACCACCGACACAGGTTCTCACAAACAAAACAGGACATTACAGGAAGACGGTTTTCACAGACACAATTGAAGCTTTAAGATATTGTTAAACTTTGTCCAGTGAGAAGTGACAAACGCTGGGAGATAAAGCAGATAGATACACTATGTCGGGGAAAGAGCTAGCCAGTGCTACTAAGTATCTTGTTAAACGGCAAAATCCAACACAATACAAACTGCACCCTGTTTCCCAGCAGGCAGTACTTTGTCATAGATTTTCAGCTACAACATAAAAGGAATGCAGTAAAGGGAGAGAGGGATTTAAAGACATAATTAACTGGGACACAATGACAAACACACACAAACTTAATTTTCATTACTTACAGTTCAATCAGGGAGTCCAAATCACTGAAGACGTCCCGGGGGAGGGCTTTGATGTGGTTATTGGCCAAAGAACTAGAACAAGAAAGTCACATTTTTAATGTGGTTATTATCTTCATGCCCTGTCACACTGAAGTCCCTTAAATAAAGCCGATGGTTTAAAACAGAGCTCTAAACCGCTTCGGCACAACATGGTTCAAGGTCTGGCTTTGGTCTTCGACGCTGAGATAAAGAAATGAGTTTACTTACACAAAGATAACATTATAGATGCTGGAGTACAATGTAAGTTTGTTTTGCTTTGTTTTCAAAACAAGCATCTATTAAGCTCTTTATATACATTTGTTAAACCTCAGATGACATCGCATGTTTCTCCGAATAAAAGCTAAAGTCCCTGGGATGTCACGCAAGACCCTCCATAGTCTAGGGTTACCTCCATTCCCGCTTACCTGCGGGACCACGTCTCAACTACTCAGATCACCCAGACTGGCCTCTTCACTATTCCTCAAACAAGCTAAGCATGTTCCCACCTCAAGGCCTCTGAATGTGTCCTTAATCTGCCCAGAATGCTCTTCTCCCAAGATGCCCACACAGCTCACTCCATCACCTCCTGCAGGTCTGTCCCCAACTATCACCACCTTCGCTGACCTCTACACATCTCCCTTCCCTGCTCTGCTGATCGCATTGCATGACCATCACTTGGCATACTATATATTTCAATTACCTATTTGTTTATTCACTGTGTATTCTCCCTATATATAAACAACATGAGGACAGAAATTGTGGTCTATCCACATCTGTATCCCCGGCTCCTAGCACAGTCCCTGGCATATAGTAGGGACTCAGTAAATCTTTGTTGAATGAATGAATTATGCACTAAAATGACAATGATAAAAAAAAAAGATGCATAGTCTTATCCCAAGAAGTTCTCTAATGGTCCATCCAAGTGAATTCTATTACTTTTGACTCTAAGAAAGGACTCCATAAATACTCTTTTACATGAAGCCCCTCGGCTCTAACCCTAATCATACTATAAAATCTCAATGAACCACAATGTTTAGAGAAGACTGACTGTGATCAATTTTATTTTCTCATTAATGAAGGTTGACCACAAACCATTTTGCATTTTTGCTTTTAGTGTTGAAGCTCTTTCTAAAATATCCTAGTCCATTCCCCATCTCCAGGAAGTAGACTCCTGGATGAACACCATAGCCTCTTTCTCCAACGATTCAGGATTATGCAGTACCCTATCATCATCCTGCTGAAGATGAATGTCCATGGTGCTGGACTGTTGATGTGGAAGATGCTGGGAGCTGAAATGAAGTACATCAAGCCTGTGACTTCCCCCAGGCATCATGCTCTAATGTGAGTCAGCCAAGAAACTGATGCCTACTTTCGTTTTCTTTTATACTCACATGAGAACAAATAGCAAAACATATAAATGATAAACATGTAGGCAATTCAGCACCAACATCTTTAAAAATACATATGAAATTAGTCTTTTGTAGTATCACAATGACCCATCCCAGAAAGAAGAATTTAAAAAATGGGTATTCCTCCTTAGACACAGCTAGAGTAGAGCGCTTTGAGCCTGTGCTTAATCCAAACATTCTTGCTTCAAGATACCAAGAGAATATGGGGAGACCTATAGTTTCTGAATTACACCCCTTCCCATCTAGGCAACCACAAATGGATTACAATACAATTTCATGTACTACTTTAGTTTTCTTTACTAAATGATTTATTGGTACATTTTAAAAGATGTTGGAAAATAGGCTGAATATGTATTCAGACTGAACATACTCTAGAAGTAGCTTTTTGAAATTATAAAAGGAGATGTTTGTTTTGACTTTTTTCCGGTTGATGGTCATTTTTTCTAGAAAGTACAAAATTTCTTAGCTAATCAAAGGTTAATTATTTAGCTAAAAATTTTTAGCTAGTTGAAATGTATTGTTATTGAAGTGATAAGAATATAGGGATTGGTTAAGGCAGCCCGCAGAATGCTCAGGAGCCATTCCAAGCATTCAACTGAGATCTCAGGGAGCCAGATCGTTTAGTTGAACTCTCCACTCGACTCACACTCAGTGCATAACGTCTCACTTTCCACTTCATTTTGTCTACAAATTCATGGCACTTCCTTCATTTCTAAAACTACTTAACAGCAACCTGTCCCTTGGGCTTTACGAGACCGCTGGAAAACAAATGTTCCTAGATTTTAGTTACAGATTGGCACTGCTCCTTCAATGCTATGAAACCTGATCTCTGTTTCTAGACTTACGAATGTGAGTCTGTAGGTGTTGGAAAAGTTCATAAAAGATAAAAATCAGATACTTAAACAAATGCCAGATAGCAACTTCCTTGAATACAGGAGTGAACTTTAGAAAACTGATGTGCTCTCTTGGCTTAGAAGTTTACAAAAAAGTGAGGGGAAGTCGGAGGACTGGTTCATTCTTTAAACAATGTATTAAATGCTTTAATGACTACATACATCTCCAGCCTAGAAGAGTCAACTTTTAAAAGTCACCTGACTTGTCCAGAAGTAGAGGACATACGGAAAATCCAGCTCAGTAAGGAACCCATCAGTCAATCAGCAGATCAGAACGTCCTGACTTAGCCCTGTGCTAGATGCTGGGGGCAGAGCAGGGCTAAGGAAGATCCACATGGGCCCTGCTCACAGGGAGCTTTCAACCAAGCTGAGGAGATAAAACTAACATCCATAAAATAGCACCACCAGTACCGCCAGTGTCTACAGTCAAGTGTTGGGTATGTGGAGCCAACAGGGAAGGCTACAGGAAGGGTGGAGGGGAGGTCAAGAATGGCTCCATGGGGGAGAAAGAACTTAACCTGGACTTTGAAGGAAAAGTAGACTCTAGGAGATCGTGGGCAGAAGGAACAGCATCCTGGGTAAGGGAAAGGACATGAGGAAAAGCCTGGTTATGGGACGAGTTGGGTTTGCGTGGGGGCTCACTGAGAGAGCAGTGTTCTGAGGACATTCAGGGAAATGCGGCTGGAGAGCTGGAGAGAGGGGGCCCTGTAGGCTTGAGTGTAGGATGCTAATACACGCTGGGACAGGCCTAGCTCTTCTCTAACGCATCGGATGCTCTCTGGACCCAAACAGAGGACTCCTTTGTTCCCTCTGTTCGTGCTCTCTGCCTGTCACACAGAAAAGGAGGTGCCTCTTACACATATGCACACACAATATAAACATATGGTTGTGCATGCAAATGCACAAACACGTACACACAAACAGTTACGTATCCACATGTATAGAAGTCCATACACCCATGGGCACACATATACAAAGGTATGCAAATATACATGTACAACAACTGCACATTCACACCTGTTTTCAGACCAGGGACCCACAGCCAACTGGTCAAATGAAAGTTAATATCTGTGCTAATTCAACCAGTTACCAGCTTTGCTTTAAGTTCATAATCTGCCCGGAAACAAAGCCCCTCATTCCTGACTTCTGGGAACCAGATTTATCTGGCCACAGCTGTTCCTCTCCAGACACCCACAGCTGTCTCCTCAGCAGACCCTGTCTGGCCACCCAAACTGCCAAGGCTACTCAGCAGTCCATGGAGACATTTGAGAGTTCTTAACGAGTGGAGGGAGGGAATGATGCTGTTGTTGATGAGATGATGATGTTAACAAGGCCAACCATATCCTGAGCATTTACCACGGGTAATGGATCAGATGCCTGGCAAGCAGGCATTAACCCACTACGTGCAGCAATCCTGTGAGGTCAGTACAATCACCCCCATTTTAAGGATGAGGAAACCAAGACTCGAAAAGGCTTAGCAATATTAATAAATGAAGGCCTTGAGATCTGAACCCAAGTCTATGTGACCCCAAGCCCATTGTTTCAGCCTCTACGGGAATGTGGGGATTTGGCATCTAAGCTGAATTTGAAAAAAAATCAAGACTTTTAGAGGAAAAAAAGAAAACCTGGAGCAATAATGCCAATGAGAGTCTCATGCTCTCCAGGACTGACTGTGCTGATCTAGATGTCTGGACCTCCCACTCTGTTCCCTCATCTCTTCGCTCTATAAGCATTAACTCAGGCAGAGCTTCTGCCTGGTAGGATTCCAGAATCAAGCGCTTGCTGAGCCTGTTGACAGACACCTTTGCCTATATCAGGGAATAATGTGAATGATTACCTCTTTAGATGCTGTATTAGTCAGGGTCACACACGCTAAAGGTACTACCCCTCTGCCCAACATCCCCACTCAAAGCCCTCCAATTTTCCCAATTTTCTTTTTACCACAGACAAGCTGACTATGGACACGAGACATGTTATCATACTTAAACACAAAATATCTATCATGCAAGTGGGATCTGGTTCCTGGCTAATAAATTGCTCCTACCAAGACAATGACTGTTTTTACATTTTCATAAACACAGCCACTATTTTTTCCAGTTTTCTAAATTTGCTAAGTGTGTGTACTTGCTTCATTCTGATATGCCAATTCAAATCAATTTGTTTAATTTTTTTCTCCAGAAAGCTATTAAAGAACACAGAGAGCTTAGCTTAAGCTGCAGATTAATCCAACATAAAAGAAAAAGCTATTTGCATTCAAATTAGAGGAACCACAAAAATGTCTCTATTCCACCTCGTCCTAATTTTGATCCTGCATTTACCATTCTTCAATGAGTCACTGATGCCTCAGTTCCCAAATCGGTACAATGGGGACTCACAGATTATTATTAAAGATAAAGAAGAGAAGGGTCAGTAAGCACCCAGCACTGTGCCTGGCACACAGTAGTTGTATGATATCTGTTAGCTTCCTTCCCACCTCCTCCATCACTGGACACAGGCCCCTCATGGCTCAGGGTGCTCCTTAATTCACATGCAGTCATGGGGTCCATAACGGCAATTCAGGAGGATGGAAAGATAATAAAGCCAAGCGTGTGAGTAATTACAACAGGCAAGTGTCTGATCGACAATATGGAAACCTCCTGGGGAACCTGGAAATCAGCTTCCTTCAGAGAATGTTACAATATGGAGGAAACAGACAGAAAGAGACAGGCATCAGGAAGTGAATCTTACTCTGCCCATTAAAGAACTTACAACACTTTTCTTAGGACTTACAGGTGAGTCAGGTCACGGAGGCCACGAAAGGCATTTCTTGAAATGGTTTCTATTTTGTTCCCTTCAATGAACCTAAGGAGAACAGCAGTATGATTAAACTGAATTTTCTCTGCTTAATCTCTCTAAAAAGTGACATTGGTATGCTTTCAGAATAAAATCTAAAAGCACTCATGAAGTTTAAAAATTCATCTCTGAAGACTAGGTCAGCCACACCAGATTCCAAGTGGGAGCAGGGTATGTGTGCAAGAACGTATGCACACAAGGGTGTGTTCTGTATTCCTTCCAGAAGCAGCACAGAAGTCTTCAAATTCAGAGTCGGCAACACGGGCAAAAACAGCTTGGGGAAAAAACAAAGAAGAAGAAAGCCCTACACAAAGGCAAGAAGTTCTGCGAGACTGGAATGCTTCCAGACATTCTCCCGACTCAACCCTTCTTACATTTCACAGCGCCTGGCTATTAATACTTTTGTTAATACGGTTGTCCCTTGAGGGGAGCCCATTGTTTTATGTCTCCATATTAAAGCTTTTGCTGAGGGAGAGTTCCATTAAGCTTGGCTTCTGGCAAACTTGAGTTCATCGTGTCCTGCAGTCTAATCTCTGAGCAAATGGGTGACAGAGCAAGGAGATTCTCAAGATCCCTAGGCCACTAGGGAATTGGAGGTACAAGGAAGGTATGTATGGCCCAAACTTCTTTCTCTGTGCTAAGACGTCTTAGGGCTTGCACACAGGACCTTGCAATAATACCTGTGGCCGTGCTTTAAAGTCTTCGTGGAAAAGTATGAAGTGAATGCACTGTGACTACTCCTGAGGGCCAGAGAGAACTAAACTTTAGTTTACGGCATCACATTACATGAAATGTAAGAGGGTCTTTGATGAGACGGTCCAAGGGTGAGGCTTTGCAACATGATGCCATTAGTGAGCAAAATAGTTCTTCACTCTTGTACTGATTACTTTCTGATGTCTGTTTTTTTAAAAAAATCAGGGGTCTTTTCCATAATAGACTTCAGGATAAACTGAAGCGAACTTCCTCCTCCATAACCTTGACAGTAAGATGAAGGGCTCATAAGAGAAAACTGATAGCTTTGCATTTGCTGCCTCCCTCGGCCGCTCATGTGCTTTGGCAGAACCTAGTTAGACCCAGTACTTCAGTAGGACTGCACTTTCCATACTAGGCATGCCGTCAGAGTACTGTGAGAGCAACATATTATGTGTCCTCTGGAGGAAGGTGTTCCCCAGAGACGTCTTTCCTGAGGACATAAAATCAGCAGTTTTCCTAGACCCAGGATGTGTTCAGAATTCAAACATCTACCTGTGAACCTCAGATAAGAAAGCAGAGACGAGGCTTTAAAAACCCCTCCGAATGCTAAGTAGGGAAAGCCCATCTGATAGCAGGATTAGTATTATTACAAAGTTAGAAGACAAGGATGAAAGAATTTAAGGGGAAAAAAGACATGAAAGGGGGAAAAGGCAAATCAGGAAAAGAAATCAGAACAAGGGCAAGCTCATTGCTAGGTAAAAAAACTGCACATCTAAAAAGGGAAAAATAACCTTTTTTTTTTTTAAAGGAGAAAAAATAAAATCAGACGCTCATCAAGCGCTCACAGGAGATACTGCGAACAGGATATAGAACAGCTGAATTAAAAACATGAAGTTGTATCCCCAAATAGGGAGACTTTATTTAAAAATAAGTAACCCTCAGAATCCTTCAGCTTTATTTCTGGCTGATCAGCAAATCCATGCCTAGTTATGAGAGGTAAAAATATCCAATGCAATTTCCAATTGTGCTTACTACATGACAAATTAAATGTCAGCAGAGAATGAATGAATATCTTTCCTTCTTTGTCTCCTTTCCCTGTCTTTGTCTCCAGCTTCCTCCTGTCCCAGCATGTTTATACACAAGTGAACTATAAAAGGTCAGCACTGAAAAGAGAATGGGGTTTTCTCCATTTTCTCCACCCCTAAGCTCTCGAAGAGATGGTGTTCCAGCTTGGAAAGCAATACAGGAATTCTACTGAGATGCCAAATGCTAGGCAGATGGACAAAGCAGAGAACTTACAGGTATTCAAGATGAAAAAGTCCAGCAAACGCATCATCCCGGATGACTGTAAATGAGTTAGAATTCAGCAACCTGAAAATAAAGGATAGATTTCAAGGCAGAGACGTAAAACCTGAGTCAGATAATGAAGCCCTTTCTGTTTCTTTTGGAATGTTCTGGTCCACGGGCAAACACAGGCTCTTCTCAGCCTAAGACTGGTCCATTAGAGGCACAACCCAACTCACAGATGCTCACGGATGATGGTAAGCGGATTCCTTTGGCTAGATTTTCTGGTCACCTCCATTACTCCACATTTCTTGGCTGCGGGTCTCAGTAAATATGACCTGATAACTGCTATTTCAAAACATTCTAAAGCTCAGCACAACTAAACAGCCAGGGAATGCTTTATGATACACAGCTATCACTAAAAGAGAGATCTAGAAGAATCTAATCCGACTCTACTTTTAGAAAAATTTGAGCCCAGAGAAGTTAAGTGACTTGACCAAAGTCATACAGCTGAGACCCCCCCAAAAAAAAAAAAAATCCTTTCTACTATATTATACATTTCTATAAGAAATAATAAAAAAAGCTTAGGAAATCTTCAGAAGACTCTTGATCAGCACATTGTTTTCTATGAGTCACCACTTAAGTTTGTTTGGTAAAAGTTTACATAGTCTGTATAGTTACCACTTAAGTCTATTTGGTGAAACATCTAAAATTGTATTTCCACCATACAGAAAGAATATTTTAATAGAGCTACAATTTCTAATAAATGATAGTTTTTTAAATGTTAAGTATAATGGTATAAGGAGGTACATAACATTTCAAGAACGAAAATATCAACATGAAGTTTATTTAGGATTCCATTCTCCATATTCTTCTGCAGTCTGTTGTTTTAATTTTGATCTCATCTCAAATTCAAGAAACCAAAGAGAATGAGCTACGTACTCATGTCTGTGCCTGTCACTGACTTGCTTTTAAAAACTGCTTTTTGGACATTTCTTCTCAGCAGCAAACAGGAACTGACCTGGGCCACCAGCACGATGCGAGCAGTCGCCAGGAGTGGCAGGATGCAGAGCAGTTACGAGTGTGGGTGAGAATTCTGGCTGTGCTTTGGGGCAAGTTACTTAACTTCCCTGAGCCTCAGGCTTCTCATCTGTTAAATGGGGAAATAAAAATACCCTCCTCGTAGGGGTGATAGGATGACTAAATAAAATTTTGCATATAAATGTATATGCTGCCCCATGGTTTACGTGCTCAGTCAACTAGAAATACTTCTATTTTCAGAGTAACATGAAGAGTTTAAAATGTAGGTTTTCTTTTAAAGGGAGGTGTTGGGGAAACAGTTCATTTAGGAGAAATTCAGGTCGTAATTCAATGTAATCATGTCCCCAGTTGCCGGATAAGGGCGTTGGGATCTACAATAAAGTCCTTGAGGAAAATGTGCCAAAAGAAGGACAGGACACCAAGTGAACAGCCTTGGGACTCGGCTCCGTGGGGACACCACAGGGCAAGTTCACTCTAAGAGCAGCCAGGGTTACCTCGGGCATTTTAGGAAGGACTGACACCAAAGAGGCAGGGACTGCTCCCCCCGGGACCGCACCTCCGGATCCCCATTTTCAGAGAGCACGTCCCATACTTACAGCAGCTGCAAAGAAGGCAGATGGGAAAACATTCGGTCCTTGATTTCCGAAAACGTGCCATTTACCAGGCTCCTGTAGACAAAAGAGGAACACAATGGGGCCTAGGTTGCTTCTAGAAGTGCCAGGCAGGGTGGGCAACCGGTCTCATCCTCCACCTGTATTTCAGCTCCTCCTCACGAACGAGGCTTAAAACAGTTGGCCAGGAGCTTCTCAGGGGTAGCAAGGAGAAGGGTCAAGCCGTTATCCAATGAACTGGATCAATACGAAAACTAGTCTGGCTAACAGAAACCTTTGCCATCAGTCCAGCTCCTTCCACAGACGTTCTCTCAGCCAGTTTGAATCAATCCCCTCGCCTCCTTTACTTAACTACAGGAGGCCGTGGCTGAAAAGGGGTAATTGCTTCACCTCTGCCCATGATTCCGTTTGTGGAGACACAGCCCTAATGTGGGCCCACGGAACGCCAGGATAGGATTAACCACTCCCCTTGGGAGCACATCTCTGAAAGACACTCACAGCACTTCCGATTAAATGCACCGTGAAAGCCTTGGGGAAAAACTCAGAGACACCTGAACTTGAATGTGTGGTGGGAGGCAATGCCATCTGCCAGATAGAACGGTCAATGAGAGGGCAAGAAGCTTGACTGTTTTTCCCACCAGGTTCCCTGTCCTTTCTGGTCACAGCAGGATCTCAATATATTATTTCAGAATTATTTCAGCTAACATGCAGATCAATCCAGTAGCTGCTGGTCTAAAAGCTTTAACAAGGGGAATTCTAATTTCTGGAATCCTTCATGTCACCCGACTTCGAGATATTAGGAATCCAAAGGCCCCCTTTCCTGCCAGCCAGACCCTCCTGACTTTCTATAAGCGCCAATGGGAAGCCCTCTACTCCTGGGGCCAGGCCTGTGTGCGGCGTCTGGGGTGCGAGGCAGGGCAGTGTGGCACAAGAGGAAGTGCCCTGGGCACAAGCGACTTCACTGCTGGGGTTCTCTGCCTCTGTAACCGAGCGGGCATCACCCCAGCACCTTGGCCTGGAACAAGGGAGTCATTTCAGCAGGAAGCGTTTCCCAGCCGTAAAGCTGTAGCCCAAGAGCCCCTTCCACAGCCGTGTGACAGAGCTGGTCATGTGGCTTGAGTGGCTGTGTGAGGGCAGGATGAAAGCACCTCTTAGCAGGTGGATAAACACCGTGGAGCTCTTTCCTGTCCCTATGTCCAGCGGGCAGAAAAAGCAGCCAACACAAAGTGTGGTGGGGAGGGGGACAAGAAGCCCTTGTGAACCCAGGGCAAGAAGTCAGGCTGATGGCCAGCGCTTGGCCACTGGGCGGAGAGTCCCACATGCCCCGGGCTCTGCCGAGTCCTCTGTGCGCCCCTCTTCCAGGCTACATGGGGCGGACCCCCACTTCCAGAGGCTGCATGCCTTTACCCAGGTTCTTCACAAGCTGCAGCGTGGAGAGGTCGGCGGAGGCCCGGGCGTAAACCACCTCCCCAGACCTGAGGTGGGACAGTAAGGCCTCACCCCTTCGCAGCCGCACTCACTCCAGTCACGCTCCCCGCTTCTACACGCCCCTACACTATCAGCTCTACCCCTCAAAGCACACATTCTCTCAAACTTTAATGCATCCTAGAATCACCTGGGGACGCCAAATACAGACTCTAAGTCTCCACTCCAGAACCTTGCTTCATTCGGCGCGGGCCCCAGAATCTGCATTGGCACTAGCTCTCCAGGTCACTCTGATGCAGGTGGCCCGCGGGCCATACTTTGAGAAACACTGCCACAGCGACTTGTCAGGGTTCCCAGACTCTGGGTCTCGGGTTCCCTCCATCCTCCCCAGGGCCCGAGCCTCCACCCACGTCCCATAGCAAGCCCCCACCCAAACGCAAAGAATGGGGCTGGGGAGCCGGGTCCGGGTCGCGCTGTCCCAGCGCCAGAGGCAACTCCCCGGGCGGCGGCGGCGGCGGCGGGCGCAGGGTGGGGCGGGGACCGGGGGATCCCACTCACTCACAGGGAGCTGATGTCGCCCGGCACGATCCTGGGCACCCAGGAGGAGCCCACGCAGATGATGGACTCCTTGGTACAGCTGCAAGTGGCGGGGCAGCGCGCCAGCCGCCTCACCTGCGCGCTCGGCGGGATGAGGCACGCGGCGCTCAGCAGCAGCAGCAGCAGTCCCAGCGCCCCGCCGCCGCCGCCGCCCCTCCGCAGCGCCATGCCGGGTCCCCGGGTCCCCGGGCCCCGCGCACTGGGACCCTGCGCCGCTGTGGCCGCGGGCGCCGCTCGCTGCTCCGCCGCCGCCGCCGCTGCTGGCGAGGACGAGGGCGCCGCGGGTGTGGGAGGCCGAGCCGCAGCCGAGCAGCATGCTGGCCGCCACCCCCACTCGGCGCCCCCCCACCCGCGCCCGGGCTGCTGGGCGGCCGCCGCCGCTGCGCCCGCCGCACTCGCGCCCGCCTGACATCAGCACCCGCGCCCGCAGCCCGCTCTGGCCAATGGAGACGGCGGGGCAGCCGCCCGCCCCCGGGGAGGGGGCCGCGCCCCTGCCGGCCTGCGGGGCCTCGGGGCCCGCCCGGCCGCCGCCCCCTCCCCGACCCTGCCGGAGCCTCCCCGGGAGCAGCGGCGAGAGGCAAAAGTTGGGGGACCTTGGGGGAGGGGCCGGCCAGGACGGAGAGCCCCTGGGGGCCTGGCTGAGCGGTGGGGCAGCAGATCCCCGAAGTCCCTCCAAGGACTTCAATAATTTGGGGGAGGCCTGGGCTCCTTGTAGCCGGGCCCAAACGTGAGGCCCAAAAAGTAGGGCCGGGGGTACTGGCTTGATTAGTGGGAGGGGAGACTCGGTGCTGAATTTTGAGCAGTCTTCATTAATTTTCGAGAAGAAATGAAATGAATGCTGCCAGTGGTTCGACGGGGATGGCTTTGCTTGTGTTTTGCGGTGGGGCAGTGGGGTCTGGCTTCGCGTCCCCCTGCACCCTGGGCTTCCTGAAGCCAGCCTCCTTTCCCCACAGAAAAGCTGCCAACCCCTGCCTGCGCCTCGGGGCTGCCTACTGCCTGCTACAGAGCTACAAAGCCTGTGAAGATTTCCCTGGCTCAGCATGCTCACTGGCGCCCCAGCCACCCCGATTAAAGGACAGGGGGTAATTGTTAATAGAGATTGAGCGAGGGCGTGATACATTCTAGGCACTGTCCCTTTAATCTTCTAACCCTTTGAGGCAGGTCCTAGTAATAGCCCTAATTTACTGATGAAGAAACTGAGGCGCAGAAAGCATCAGTAACTGGCTGGTGGTTGAGGAGTAACCACCGTCTCTGGGCAGAGATGGGGATGGGAGCCTCGGATGGGATTGGGACAGGGCCCCACTGAGCCCTTCCTGTCCTCTGCACGTTGGATCCACTGAGCTTGAGTCTTACCACAAGGTAGTGTGAAATGGGGAAATCAAAGAAAATGGCCAAAGCAGAAGGAAAATAATGGCTGAGAGCCAGAACTACTCGGAGTGGGGAATCAAGGGCACCATCATCAGGATGCTAACCAAGGAAAACCATTTCATATGTGAAGATATACCCAGAAAAGGCGGTACCCGGTGCAAAAGGTTATTACTACAGGAGTCATCAATGCTATTGCTCCTTCAGCAATCATTTTCAGCACATACCCAGCTGGCCACTGTGGGAGGGGACAAAGGGACAGGCTCTATCCTCAGGGAGCCTGAGGTCTAGCTAGGCAATTAGCTCTAAAGAAGTAACTCCACGTGGCTACATGGGGGTCACAGACTGACCAAAAGGGGTTCAGGAATCGAAAGTGAGTTCGTCACAGGTAACTCCATGGAGAGAGTTGGACATTCATGGCAGGTCACCATTTTCCCAGCACCTAGCATCGATGTGAACCAGTCTATGGTTATCATCATTTAATTCTCAAGTCTACCCCAAGAAGTGGGTCTTCCTGTTTTATAGATGGGACAATCAAGCTCAGAGATGTTTTTCTGTGGCCCAAGGTCACGCAAGACACAGCCAGGAGGATCCTACTCTGGAACTGGCTGCTGTGTCTAGCCCGCACTCCTACGGCGGCAGGCACTCCACAAAGGCTTTCTCAGCAAGGCCCAGTGCTGGGGCTGAGGCTGCAGACTAGTCTGGAGAGGGCGACAGGCACATGGACCCACCAGCATGGAGGTGTGTCCTGCATGCCTGATAGACGTCTGCCCTAAGAGGGATGGGCTTCTGCTTTATAGAGAGGAGGAGTGAGACTTCTCAAATGCGGTACCATCTTGCAGACCTAAGAAAAGAAAACCTGGTTCTCAGCTGTGTTGGAGCGAAGCGAGGAGGAAGGGTGGGCAAGTAAGCTCTCTGTCCCCAGAACTAGACAGGTTTGGGTTTGCATCCCAGCCTGCCACTCACTAGCTGTGGGCAAGTTATGACCACTCAAAGACTCGATCGTTGAATCCACCTTTGGGGTTAAATGTGATCAAGAATGTATAGCACCCAGTGTCATACAGGGGGTCCTAGGTGCTTGTTCTGGTCCATGTGATATTGTGGGCAGGGCAATTCTCAGCTAAACCATAGGATTGGAGGGAGCAGGCCGGGGTGTGGGTGTGAGGGGCTGTAAAAGAAGAAGAATTTTCTTAACATTTGTGCCTCCGTTTTGATCAAAGATAAGGGCACAGTCTAGCACAGTGGTTCTCAATCAGGGTGACACTTGGCAATGTCTAGAGACAGTTTGGGTTGTCACAGTGATGTGGGTGCTACTGGCATCTAATGGGGAGAGGCCAGGGATGCTGTCAAACATCCTGCAATGCACAACGAAGAATGATCCAGCCCAAAATGTCGCTCGTGCTGAGGTAGGGAGAGCCTGGTCTGGTGTCCTGGAAAGACCCCTGGCATGAGGAATTCCAGAGGTACAGACTCTAGGCCTGGCTCTACCACTCATAAGCAAACCTTCTTGGTCATGTCACTCCCATCTCCAGCCTCTATTTTCTCATCTATAAAATGGGAATAATGAGACCTTCCCTCCTCTTCCCTAAAGAAATGTGACATATCATCATTATTACTATCCTTACCCTCCCCATACTCTAGCGCATCCCCTGCAACCCGAGAAACTAGAAAGTTCCTGATAGAAAGAGTGCAGAGAGAAGACTTGAGTAGCATAGCTGGCAGGGTTGGTATTTGTTTCGGCTCTGTTAGAGACACTAAGTAAGCGAGTGCTTGTAAATTATAAGGTGCAGTTTATAAATCAAGATGTAAAAATGGAAATGCAGATTACTTTGGTTTGGTTCCAAGATCTTCAGCAGTTAAAAAAAAAACTTCATAGACAATCAGAGAGACACAATCTGTTTCCAGGAAATAGCAAGTTTTTCAAAATGTAAAAATCCTTGTTCAGATGTACACTTACTTAAGCTGCATCTCCATGACATGAGCACGCATTCCTGCAGGGGACAAAGTAGTGCAGGCTGGAGTGGCATGTGTGGGCAGCTCAAAGCATTGTTCATTCGTTCACCCTCTCATTCAACCACCCGTCATTTCGTTTGGTCAATATTGACTGGATGCCTGATCGCATTTAGGTGTGAAGTCGAAGGGAATGTTAAGAATGTCTCCCAGGTTTTGGCTTGAGCCAGTGAGTGGATAGAAGCACCATTTCTTGAGATGAGAAGGCCTAGAAGAGGAGAGGGTTTGGCTGGGAGATGTAGCAAGAGTTTAGTATTGGAGATGTTGCCTCTGAAATGTCCATGAGGCATCCACGTGCAGATGCTGAGTTGGCAGCTAAATGACCAGTGGGGATGGTGAGGAGGAGATGGGGGTGGTGCCTGGGAAATCTTCATACCCTAGGTGAAACCTTGATTCTCCCTCCGGAAGCCCTCAATGTAATTTTAGTTGATTGAATAAATGAATGAGTGAGGGAATGAATGAATGAATGACATTTTGGACATACAGACATTAAAGAGAAAATATCTCTCAGGTGCCGTCAGTCAGCAAGGGGAAACAGAATTCTTACAGAAGAGGGTAAGTCTAAGAATACTGCATTTGGGGGATCTATTTTTAAACCAAACATAATCTTCAAATTCTAAAGCAAACTGTAAATCTTGTAGGAATCTCAGAGACCTCATCATGCTTCTAATCCCCCTCCCCCATTTTCCAACTGAACTCCCCGCCCCTCCTCCCCCCTCCGCCCAAGCTGGTCTTCCCTCCAGAACTGTAAGCTTTGGAAAGCCTTCACTAACATCGAACACTCTGGCTCTGATCCTTGCTGTAACAACGGAAGAAAAACTATTCATCCAAACCTCAAAGGCTCTTGGTTTGAACGGCTACAAATTGGATTCCCTGGGGTGAAAAAAAAAACCCAACCAAAACAGTTTTGTCCTTTTTATTTTTATCCAGAGAGTTTGCCAATCCCTCTTTGACCACATCACCCCGATATGCCACTCTTGTGGTTGGCTGCTGGTCAAATGTAGATGCAGTTTCTGGCTTCCCATCATTTCCTTTCTTTACAAACTCAGTGGGTGTCACAGTCTGGAATTCATGTTAAATCTGCCCCAGATTGGCCTTTTAAATTCAACCATGTTCTTCAAGGGCTCCCTGTGGATATCTCATGCAGTTTCCTAAATCAGCTGAAAGGCCCTCAAGACCCTGGCTATGGTTTCTGGTGACCTTTGCCACCTCCTCCCCACCACCATGTAATGGACACCTGTGGGATATTTGTTCTTCAGCATCAGCTGCCCCTTCTTGTGACAACAGGACACAATTTTGCCTTGGAGGCAATGATTCCTTCTCAATATTCAATCCGTGTGGCTCACTTGTATATTTCCATCTCCCATTGTACACGTCATCTAGACTAGAGCATTCTAGAATATTCCATTCTCCCAGCCACAGTGACTGGTTTAGTGATGAACACTAAACAGAAATTAGGGCTAACAAAACCCCTTGGTAGGGCTTATGCTTGAAATATCAGGAAGCAGTCTCACTTTTCCACTGGCCAAGGAGTTGTAGTGATGTGGGCCTGAGAACCTGTGCAGCTTCCTGAGAAAGGCACCCATGGAGGAGCGGGATCCTGATGGTGTTGTTTGGACCTCACATCAAGTCACCCCACTCAACTCTTCAGTTATGTGAAATTCAGTTATGTGTAAATTCTTCTTTTTTCTTAGCTAGTCAGAGTACGGGTTTTGGTCCATTGCAACCAAATGAACCCTAACTAGTCCGTTCAGACACCACTAATCCACTCAGACATCAGAGGCAATGTGTAGCAACTTTGAGACACAACTGACAGGCAGGTAGAACTCAGTAAGTGTCCCCAGATCTGCCTTTCAATGAACTTTTCCCTCTTTCTCCAATTTTGTGATGTCCTTTCCCTCTGCTTTGTCAAGGAAATTTTGAAATTCTGCACCTTTTTTTTTTTTTTTGTCTTTTTTCTTCTTC